TCTGCAAGCAACATGCACACACATAGTGCACAGCCAAACACCCATGCACATAAAATATGACAAAATAAGTGACTCTACAAACACAAATTAAGTTAAAATCAGACGATAGGTGGCTTGCTTAGAAGTTACAAATTAGAAACTCAGTTGTGGAAGTTGTAGTCTTGGTGAGGTGATAGGCTTGATTTCAAGTTTGGTTTTCTAACAGATACAGAATTTAGATTTTCAAAAATGCTAATGATCCAGGATGGATGGCTAAATGAAGGCGAGACTTTCATGCATCATGCACTCCTACATTATTTTACACAACCAGGCATGTCAATTTGGTACCAGGGATAAATTTAAGATCACGTGTCTCTATGATGGAACAAAGAAAGACTTAAAATTTCATAAAATGAAAACATTTCTTTGCACACTGAGAATAAAGTACGATGGTTCATAGTTTAGGACTGAAAACTCTGGAGTTTTCATTCCCGAGGAAGCTGACAGTTCAAGCTCTTTTCTGAATTCTTTAGAGTAGTAAAAGTGATCATTTTTGTTTCTATTATTTCTACTAATATTTTGATAATTTTCTCTTCACATTTGTTTCTTAAGCATACAATCTGCAGCATGTATGTCTGCAGGCCAGAAGAGGGCATCAGATCTCATTATAGATGGTTATGAGCCACCATGTGGTTGCTGGTAACTGAACTCAGGTCCTCTGGAAGAGCAATCAGTGCTCTTAACCTCTGAGCCATCTCTCCAGATTCTCTTCCCATTTGTGTTCAATTTCTTTTCTCAAAGATAATTGTCTATGATTTCCGAGAACATTGTAGCTCTTTATTCTTCTGTATTTTTTCCTCTTGCATTTTATTTATTTCATGCAGAAAATTTTAACACTTGATTTTACTAATTTATTCTTTTATTAAATTATGTTGTATGTGTCTGTCTGCATGTGGGTTTGTGCACACAGTGCAGAGCTTTCAGAGACCAAAAGGAGGCAATAGAGTCCCAGATTTTGAGTTATGATAGTTATGAGCCACCAGGCTTCAGTGCAGGAATCAGTCTCCAGTCCTGAAAGAGTGGCATGTGATCTTAACTGCTGAGACAGCCACCAGCCCTTTTTTAGCATTATAATACTGTAATGCAATTTAATAAAATAACATTAATAAAATTTAATAAAATGGAATTTAATAAAGTTCTAGTTAGACTCCTTTTGTTATTTCACATGTTAATATAAACATTAAAATGCATTAAATGCATGCTTTCATTTCCCTATGTCTTATCACTCTTCACATACTCAGGAGTCATGGTTTCCTCAAAAAACTTGGAGCTTGATCAATTAAATGATTGTTTACAACTCTTTGTAGAATCCGTGGCTTGATGTATGCTGGATAGACTGTTGTTTTTTCTTAGACATAGTTTTCTTAAGATAAATTTTTAGAAGTAGAGTGGCAACATCAAGGAAATAATATTTCTTAGTTTCTTGGCATTGCCAACTTGCCCTCTAAAAAAATGTAACGGCATGATATAAACTTTCTACAGCAGTTTCTGAGATAGCCAGGCCATAGACAGGAAATTTTGATTGTTAGGAGGGTCTATGCACAGCTTATCAGCTCCTCAATTGACCCTGTAGTCTAGATTGACAGATTTAACCTTCCAGCCTCCCAGAAAGGGGGCAAGAAATGGAAAATCTAGGCCTTGGTCATGCCAACCCAGACTGTTACCAGCTAGGCAACTCAAGATTGTCCACCTGTAGTCCTCTCCTGGGACACACAAGAGAAAAACATGCATATTTTGTGACTCAGAGCTGTGCTATGTGGCCCAGAGTGTCTTCAAACTCTCAATCCTCCTGCCCTTGTCTGTTGTAAGATAGAATTATAATACTGAACCACTACAACTATATGGGTGTCTAACAACTTTTAGCTAAAAGAAATTGTCTTAAAAAAAGATAAGAGTAGGGTGCAAAAACCAGCACCTATATAATATAGACTCAATTGGAGCATACTTCCTTTATTTGAAGGAACCATTCAAACTGTCTCAATATTAAATTTTAGTTGTGGAAAAAAAGGTTTTATTCTTTGTGTGTATGTGTTTGTGTGTGTGTGTGTGTGTGTGTGTGTGTGAGAGAGAGAGAGAGAGAGAGAGAGAGAGAGAGAGAGAGAGAGAGAGATTATGCCACAGCATCTATGCAGAGGTCTAAGGACAGTTTTCAGGTATCCCTCTTCTCCTCATCACAGTTCAAACTCAGGTCACCAGGACTGCTTCCAGGCTGAGCCATCTCACTAGTTGTGAAATTTCTCAATTGTAAAGAGGGAGACAGCCCTTCAGCAAAACAAAAATCATAGACAGAAGAAGAGTGGCGTGCACATTAAGGCAAGAGGGAAAAAAAACTATATAAATTTAAAAAAAGAACATGCAAATTTAATCTATCTTCTATGATGAAGGAAACATTCTTAATAATGTTTATTTGAAACATTATAGCTCACCATATTTCATAATTCCTGGTTTTGTTAGAAAATAATTATACCAAATTACACAATTCTGAGATTGTAACAGTTCATTTTACATATCTGGAAAAAAATTTCAAACGCGGAATAACAGCACTGTGAATGCTTAGTTGATATATTTCAGACATTAAATAACTAAAAATGAAAACTAAACACTGGCATTTTTCCATTCAAAGAGCACTTAAGCAGATGTCTCATCCCAAGCTTTCTACGACGAACTTCATTTCTGGATAACGATTGACACAAAGTGTCTCCTACAGTCACTTACTGATAACTACAAGTAATGCTTAGCATCTAAACACTTCTACTAGACATAACTGTACGATTTATGAGGAACAGGAGACGTTTCAATATTGTTTACATGTGTAATGTTCTAACAGAATAATTGGTATATTGATCATTTAAAAACATAAATACTTTGTGAAGAGACCATCCCAAATACTTTCTTCCAGTCATTTTTAAATATGCAGTCTTTATTATAATCTACAGTCAATAAATTGTGGAGAAAAACACATTATCTCTTTCTCCAGCTGCCTGTGACTTTGTACTTGTCATTTACTTCTAACTCTTACACAAAGGTAACTAAGGTCTTCAGTCTGCAGAAAATATAGTTACCTTCTACAATAAAGAAGAATGTTTGAAGTTGAAAAGAAACTTTAAAATCAACTCCCATATTTTACATATAAAAGCACAGTAACTTGCCCCAGGGCCTAGCTGAATCCATCTGAATTACAAGTGGGTTAGGATAGGACAGCCAGCCTTCCAGATGCATCTCTGTTCCATTCACTTAATAACTTATGGACTCCATTTATACATCATAAGAAACAACTGTCTTTGCCACAAGTTAACAAAATTTGAACCATAATTTTTTTTCTTTTGCAAAAATGGCACATCCCTAGACAAATTTCCAATTTTCTTGACTATATTGATTTCTGAAATGGAACAATGTCTCTTCCTCATTGTACATGAGATAATATTGAATTATATTATTAAGAGCAGGATTAACTATGCAACTCTATTGGCCCTTTTAGGAATGAAATGATCATAACAATCAAGGAATTAATCCCTCTAGTCTCTTATGTTGGATATTTATTTTGTATTCCCTATAGATCTCAGCAGCAAAGAGTAAAAGCATCATCCGTGAAGGGTTTCTATTTAAAGTTGAGCTGAAGGCAGATGAAGTAAATTACTGAGCAGCTTTGGAAGCTTTTTAAAATTCTCAAGCTTTTAAAAACAAGTCACCTATTAGTGTCTAGATGAGAATTCTTCAGTGATAAATGTGATAAAATGAACTCTCTTTGGTAATAAGAATCTAACTTTTTTTTCTGAGCACTTTAAACCTTGAGAAACATTGCTTTCTTTGACTTTTATAGGCCTTGGGTTTTTTTTTTTTTAACTGTAGCTATGCATACAAAGCCAGTTGAAAGGCTTGGAATAAACTCAGTAGTTTCAAAATATATACATATATATATTTTAACAGAGCACAACCCAACTCAAATCTACCCAAATGAGCAAGTAGAAATTCAATCCAGAGAAGGGTCTCTGGTTGGGAGAGACCACACATCAATCATGACCCACCACCTACATTAGCAGAGAGAATGTCTGCAAAGAATATTAACTTGTGTCTGTTATCATGTTAGGAGGCCATTTTGGCTGGCTTACACTCTAATTGTTTTTATTTATTAGATTGTTTGCTATGCCTCTGATAAAACTGTATACATTATTCATATGTCATCCTCCCAAAACACATAAGGCTTTATTTATGAGGGTATGCGGGGAGAGCTCAAAGTAAGTATGGCTGTGTTAACCACAGTAAAACTTGGTCTTCATCCTTGAGCATGAGGTGCTGTCAGGAAGTAAGTCACCCTGAGTAATAAGATCACTATGCAAATAGATGCAAATGATATTCTCTGTGCAATTTAATAAAGTGGGTGAGGCACTAGAAGACAGGGATGAATGTTGGTGGAATTATTAATTGAACTTTTTTTAATATCTGAGATAAAAAATAGATGGATTTCTTCCAAAAATAGTCTCTGATCGAGAAACATTTTTCTTAATGTAGCTGTAATTGAAATTTTATTTTTAAGCAAAATATCTTGTGCAAATGAAGAACAAGACCATGTTTCCCCATGACCATGATTCTCTAATTTCCTCTAATGCAGAGAAAAGCATCATTAAGTACAAAGAAAAGAAGAAGACAGATGAATTTTACAATGACCCATTCTATTAGAGGGTGGTGAGGGTATTTTTTTTATTCTTTACTTTCTAATTTTCAGGCAAGTCATGATTAGTTACAAAAGACTAGTGGGGCTTTAATCAGATACCAAAATTGTCTTGGTAGTTGTTTTGAAATACATAATATGCTAATAACCTATTCATTAAAGTGCTTTTTTCTATTTCCTTTGAGAAGCCCTTTGTATTAGTAAAGCTATCTTGACTATTTCAGAGAATGAACTATAATCACATTTAAAACAAATTACAAAGATTACAACAGCTCATTCTTTTGTAGCTTACCTCAAAGTGGGTAAAATGAGGTCTAAGTTTTTATACAGGACTGCTCCAAGAACGAATACAGACGACTCATCCAGTTCTAGAAAGAATAAAGTGAAAAATTATTAGTAAAACCACAGAAAAAGACAACCATAAAAACTTTGATCCATTAATCACTAGCTCATTTCAATACTTGTTCAAGGGCAAAGATAAAGATGGGTAGCAGAAATTCATTCAGTCTTAGTCATGTCTACAATAAGTTAGCCCCATCACCTTGCCCATATAGTTGTAGACAATAGTGTTGGTGATGATTTTGAATCAGTATCCATCTTTTTTTTCTGACAAAGCCAAGATTCGAACCTTCTTCCAGTCTATTAAAAGCTTTTCAATTCCCAATGATATTAGGGGAAATAGTTACACAGCATTAGGATTATGTTCAGGGTCACCAAAGTGAGACTTAAGACCACAGTGCCTCTTTTGAAGCTAATATTAGAAGGCACTTGAGACATTAATAGAAGTTAGTCCCTCCTTACACGTGTTACTTTCGCCAAAACAGTAACTGCAAATAAAAGTTCATTTGAAGTTGAGACATAAACAAACAACAAAATGTGACTGAATAGAAAATGCAATCACATTTCCACATCTAAAGCTAAAGTGCTCTATTTTGGGCTGAAACTGTTAGTAGAGAAATATGAGCACACCACGCTCGGCTCAATAGTTTGTGGTTCTATTTTCCCGACTTTAATAAATCCCTTCTGTAAGTAAATCTGTTGATTTAAAGGCCAAGGACAAGTGCTTACATCTATAAAATTAGTTTACAAACATGTTTGTAAAGGATTCAACATTATGTGATATATGACAATATATATATATATAATTTACATAGTGACTTGGTCAGAAATGTTTGGTTCACAGCTTATATTATTCCTCACAATTACCTTTTGATGACACAGGAGTAAAAATGCTTTTTGGGATAACGACTCGATCTTCTGAATTTCTTGCCCAGTCCACCATTCCTTTCCGACCCTTCATCGGGAAGTTGATGTCTGTTAGGACAGAGGCTGCAGGAAGCTTCTGAATACTAGCCACTATTTGAAAAAAAAAAAAGAAGACTGTCAACAAAACTTACTCTTAATATCACTGAAATCAAATTCATCAAATCAATTCTGAGTATATTCATAATAGAGTTTTGAGGTAAAGTGCAGTTAGCAGAGCATGAAAACACATGTATTTATTAGAGAGCATTGTTATTTCAGGGTGGGGATGCTTTCATTTCCCGCTAGGTTTCTATGGTTTTGATTTGGATTCAGACAATGACGGTCAAAGGTGTTGTGAGTATCCTAAGGCCATAGCCACACTGCTTGTTCACACTTGGTTCCCTACGGCAACTCTTCGAAGCCCGCATATCCATTAAAAGTTCAGCATACCTATCTGGTAGGCTGAAGTATTTAAATTAGCTTGGCTTCAGAGCATGTCTTCTTTATGTAATTGTCAGAATGAGCTGGTTATGATTTAGGTAGATCCCAAAAAGACATGGACAATAAAACATGCATATTACTCAGACAAAGCATTGTCATAATCCAAGTGATGTGCCACGGTGCCAATAATAATACCAACTACAAAGGCAACTTCATACACAGAAATATCAGATACATCTGTCACAATATTACCTTAAATCTTTTGCCCTAAAATTGCAAGAAATATATATATGTATATATATATGTATGTATAAATATATATTCATATTGGGAATTATGTTTTTACTACTAGAAATACAAGTTTAAAAATAATTTTGATTTATTTACTTTTATTTTATGTGTGTGGGTATTTTCCTGCATGTATATCTGGATACCATGTGGGTACAGTGCATGCAGAGGCCTGGAGGGGGCATTGGATCCCCTAGGGCTGTAGTGATGGGTGGCTGTCAGTCATCAGGCGGGTGTTGACAACTGAACCCAGGTCCTGTGGAAGAGCAGTCAGTGGTCTTCACCACTGAGCTATCTTCAACCCCCAGAAATACATATTTCAATACATGTTGATAGAAATATAAGTGATAGTTTTTTAGAAATCTAAGTGTATTTATTTCATGTAATAGTAGCAGTTACATTTACAGTACATGGACCTATATTTACAATAATGTATATAATAAGGTTTAAGATGATAAATACATAAGCACTATATAGTATATACATTTTACAATTAAGAAATATAATTTGCAAATTTTATGTAGGCCTACACATGTTCTCCATTAATGCTTCAAGAGTCCCATGGAAAATATAAGTGGAAAAATGATGGGAAAACTATAAAAGCTAGCACAACTGGACAGCTAAAGTAAAAACCATTAGGCGCTTCCTAAGTGGATTTTATTCTAGAGGAACTTGTAATTTAAAACAAGAGAGGATGAAATTAAGATTTTTAACAATATTAGTTGCATAAATATATTACTGTACCCCTGGCTTGGTTTCAAATTAAATTGGTTATGTATTATGGCAGTGCACAGTGAAATTATGCTTTATGAAAGCTCTTTGTGGCTATTATACACATCCATTATAAGCACAGGATGGAATTTCATTTGGGCTGCAATTTGACATATTAAGCTTAAAAAGGATTTGCTAACTAAATGTTGAAGGAAAAAAAAGGTACTGGATAAGACATAAATTAGTTATGGATGTTAAATGCCACTTTTTTGAATAACGAGTATAATTATTTTAGTTTCTTTTTTAATTTTTAAAACCGAGATGCTTTTCCTTTCCACAAATAACCCCATTCAAATGTGCTCAAGGTCACAAAACTTCAGCTGTGTATAGAAAAACAGTCAACACGTTGGAAAATATTTGTCCTTGGCTCTTGAATTATTAATGTTCAAAATTACATTAAAAGTCTTGGTATCTAACTTCAGTTGCCTTGAAGTTTAGAGAAATACATATTTTGCTAGCATGATCCAAAAGCTTATGAGAAGACATGAATGCTGTCTTTCCCGTATTTCCTATTATTAAGGAAACCATACATGAGGTAAATGTCTGGGTCCTGAAATCTAACCATTTCTTTATTTCTATGAACATTCACAGAAAAGTAAAAATGAACACCAAGTAATGTTTAATGGAGGCTTTTGTCTGTACTAGAAATCATGTTACCATGAGTAAATGTTGGATTAATACCATGTTTGTGAGCAGGTAAGTTCATTTAGTGATATAGGCATGCATTTTGCCCCACACAACACAGTCTTTCATTAGAGGTATTCTAGTGGTTAAATTATGATGATATAGAATAGATTGTACTTCCTAATACAGTATACAACAAAGAAATATAAAAAGAGGTCAAATTCACTAATTTGTGCCCAAGTCTAAATGTCATAATCTTCTTCATGAAGAGTACAGAAACAAAAATTGAATGATTCATTACACTTAGGCATGCCATTTACAAACGTGTATATATTTGTGTAATATAAAGCTAAGCTATTTTATCTAGACAGTAAATCATCATGTTTTAATATATGTATACAGTCAAACTGAACTAATTATCATGAGCAAAACTTCACTACACTTAACTTTTTCTAAAAATATGATGTAAAGGTTAATAAAACAATTGTAAAAGATGATATTTGAATAGGTTATGGGGTTCTGTTTTTAGTTTATGAATTAACAATGTTTAAAACTAACACGTTTTAAAAACCAATAAAGCATTTTAATTTATACATATTTACCCCAAATCCCCCAAGTTGGGTGTTTAACGCTGACATTCTGGTTCTTTCTGAGCCCTGAATAGTTAATAAGAATACATCCTTCTACACAGCAAAAATAACTCAAAGATGTCTTTTTTTCCCCCTTTTAAGTTCTTGTGTATGACATTTGGATCAATCTAATTTCCAAACCCTTCCCTTTTCTGCTGAGTTTCAGTGCTCAAACCCCTTATATAAATTTGGAACCTGTTAGTCTTTGAGCAAATGGGAAACGCATGTTGGATGACTACCAGGGAGGTAAGCTCCAAAAAGTAATTCCTTAAACTATCACCTGGTAAACATATAAGTTTGGCTAACAAGACAGAAACAAAGTACACATGCATACTAGATGCTCTGTTTCTATAGTAATTGGCTGATAAATTTAGTCATCATAAGCACCTAGAAGTTAGAAAGACTTTCCTCAATAATAACTTTTAAACCTTACAGAGTTTAGATGGAACGTGAAAGGATATGGTGTCTCTGGATAAATAGAGATATTCCATGCTCCAGGAATTGCCCTGAATTCAGAGAACTGTCATTATAAAACTAGATTTAATTTCTTATGAAGTAAAATAGGTGACTCGTTATGGTAAACTATGGAGTAAGGCCACCAGACTGAGTTTAATATCGTGCCTTTGTTGGCCAAACTCTAAAAGGATCCAGGTTCAGTGTAAATGTTTTTCCCCATTCCTAACTTTTTAAAACATATTAAATTTATTCTTTGCACATTTTATACATGTTACAATATCTTGATCATCTCCACCTCCATTTGCTCCCTCCAGGGCTCCCCAGTAGCCCTGCCCAACACATCTCCCTCTGAGTCTCTGTTTTCGTTATCTTTCTTTTAAGAGTTTTGCTCATCAGAAGCACAGAGAAGTTTTGTAGATGATTCTAAAAGTATACAGGATTTATTCCTTCATGATCATTTTGCTTCTTCCAAGCAAGATTTACTCATCTGGGAGATTACAAAGTTTTACCCTTTGCCCTTGTAGAAGTGAAAGAGAATGAAGACTTTGTGCTGTTCACCATTGTGGTGAGTGTGTTCCACGTATAAACTGGAGTTAGTAAAATTGATGTATAGCTCAAATATTAGACAGAAAGGGAAGGCATGAGGAAAGAAAACAATTGGAAGCAAGAGAGAAAAGGTATGAATAAAGGTTGCAGAGGTGAGCAAAATAGACAAACTAAGGCCAGTCAAGAACACAGCCATCTACCGGCCTGTTTTACCCTTAGAACCCATTTTTGCCCTTGACCCAGGTTCTGATTGTTTTTTTAGTTTCATAGACCTATTTACAGTTTGTGGTAGGTATTAATAGAAGCCACTATCTATCTCAAAAGTTCCAGTTTGGAAGATAAATTTCAGTGTTTGCAGTTGTTTGCATAGCATATGCAAAATGCTTGGAATAATCCCCCACAACACATAAATTTGGAGTAGAGGTACTACCTTCCCATTCCAGCATAAGGTAGGTGGAAACAGTAGGATCAGAATTCAAGTCTTCCTGGACTACATAGCAAGTTAGAGACTAACTCGAGAAACATGATACAATGCCTCAATTTTTTTTAAAAAAAAAAAAAGCCATAACAAGCATCAAGAAAGACAAATTCCAAATTCCACATTCATTTTACAAAATCTGTTCCTTAATAGCAACTCCTGNCAATTGGAAGCAAGAGAGAAAAGGTATGAATAAAGGTTGCAGAGGTGAGCAAAATAGACAAACTAAGGCCAGTCAAGAACACAGCCATCTACCGGCTATGCGTGGCAGCTATTGGTTGGAGGAGCAGAAGGACCTCCCGCAACATAGTGCTAACTAGTTTGCTGGGCTAAGAGATGACGGCGTGGGAACTACACCAGATCACAGGAGCTTCTATGGACATGTTGGCTCTTACTATGGAAGCCAATTTTGATGGAATTAAGTTTAAAAAAGCTACTACATGGTTGGTTATGTGTCGGAATAAAGTATTTAATTTTGGCTACAACATTATTTTTGTGTTTTATAAGTGACTTCCGGCAAGGGATTTCTTCCTGAGTGTTTTATATTAAGTGCCTTCATACACCCAAAGGCAGGAACTGCATTGGAAATAAGCAGCGCTCCAGCTGTGGTGCCGAAGTGCAGCATCCAGGGATGTGCGCAAGCGTCTTAGGAACTCTATCTTGTTTATTTTGCCCATAACATCTCTTCCTTCGTTTTCGTTTTCTTACATTCTTTCTTTCTGTCTTCCTGTCTGATTGACTTTGCTAGAAGAAATGAACTTTGCCTCTTGGCTTTTTGGGAGTTTAGGAAATCATCCAGCTTAAAAACTTACTGCTTCAATAAAGAGACTAAATATCATGAATGACAAGCTTAGGGTTTCCAAGGCAGCTAAGACCCC